AGTCAGTCGCTTCAAACTAAAAAAACAATCTTCACAGATTAAATTAAATAATGTTTTAATTAAAAAGGTCTCACTTCCAAACATCCAAATCGTCTTGAATGATAATCCGTTAGTAGCATTATTACAAAGAAGGGCACAGAGTAGTTTATTGGTAAAAAAGATTTAAAAAAAAATTTTATTAAGAAATGATTGTGGGTTTTTTTTTTTTTTTTTTTTTTTTGTATATGTTTGGAAATTTGCTGCGTGGTTTTAGGCTTGTGTTTTTAAAAACAGCTGGTTCGCGAAATGAGCCGGGGCAGTTGGGCATCAACAAAGCGAAAGAGACAGAGCTACAGTCGCCAGCTTTGAACTTTAGTATTAGATATATTATGAAAAATAAATCAAAACAGTCTATTAAGAAACTTATTTATGCTTTCAAATTTTTCAGTTTTTTACACATATTATATAATACACATATATATATATATTATATTACCGAACTAATTACATATGGATTAATTTCAAGAATAAAGATTTTCATTAATCAATATATTATATCACTTTTAATAAAGAAAATAAAATACTTTATTAAAATAAAATGAACAGGTATTGTTTTAAATCGCGCAGTTTGTTAAACAAGTTCTGATTAATTAAATTAAAAAAATTAATTAATTATGATTTGCTAAATGGCAGCACTTTTAAGAACTGGTTATGAGCTACATGCGTGTAGCCTAATTGATAAATACTTTAAATTTCAATTGATAAATACTTTAATACAAGAAAACACCATAAATTTCGCGCCGTGGCAATATTTGCGATGTCGAGTTGATGGTATTTCAGACTAGAACTGCACAGTCAGTAGTGTGCCTGCGCGCCAGGCGCTATCCCATTCGAATACTTTGTTTTTTCGAATCATGCCATTTTAAAGAATACCCATTATGGTAAATCCTAATTCCCCTCCAAAAAAAAAGAAAAAAATGTAAGTTTCACAGAGTTTATATGTTGATAATAGTCATAAGTAGTAAAAGCAAGCAAGACATCTAGTAATTGCTGCCTTAAGTCATATTTACATTAAGTATGAAGTTGACTGTATATTTATATTAGCATGATGTAACATAAAGTAACGGTCCAGTAGTTTTGGAAAGACTGCAATAATGTTTCTAATGTCAATTTCACAAAAATGTGTTCTGTTGATTTCATGCGAATAGATTTTTTACATGGATATATTTATTAAACGGAACGTTATATTCGGAAATTTTTTTAATTTCATTCGAAAGTTTAATGAAAATACGAAATTTTCGGAAGGAATAAACTTTATAAACGAGAACTTCTTATCCGAGTTTTATTACACATGAAATTCTATTTAGGCTCACCAGCGGTCGAGTTGTAAAATTGCTGACACTGGTAGTTCGGTCCGAGGTTCGAATCTCGCGGACGGGTTGGCTGCATGTGCAATTTCGTGGTTTTTCCCATGTGTAACGTGTATACGAGCCAGTTTACCTTAGAAAGTCCTCCACGAAGGCATCCGTCCCCTTAGGCAGATAGCCCTCGAGGCTTTGCAATAATTAAATAAAAAAAAATTAGTGAAATTCTATTTATGTTTAAAATCAGAAGCAACAAAATTAGACTGAATAATCCGGTATGGTATAATAAATATTTCCTTTGCATTCTGAAAATGCATACAAGCGCAATAGCACTGAAGAGAGAGAATGATATTGAAAAAATTTATATTATAGATTCATTTTTACTTGAAAGAGATGATCCAAGCGAAAAAAAATTTACTAAATTTATTTGTTTCGTAGCTACTTATTAGTAAATTCAATATTGATATGACAGAATTAATCCTATAAATTTACCAAGATAGCAACAATCACTCGTTGTTAACCTGCTTCATTTTTTTCCGTGATGTTTGACAAAAAAGCATTATCATTATCATTATTATAAGGACACAGGCCCGATCCGCCTAGCCGGCATCAACCGTCCGTATGATTAAAAAATAAGACTGGCCAGGAAAAAAAAAAAAAAAAAAAAAAAAAATCTGAAAGGTTTCATATTTTAAATTACGTCCAAGGGGGCGTTTTATTAACAATTTATGTGCTACCTTTATTTATTAAATATTCTTATAGAAATTATCTTCGCACTTAAAACTCAATTTAAGAGCAATATCGCAAAATAAGTTTAAATTGAGCCTGTGTTTAGAATTTACGATACGCAGTCTCACGTACTGGAGATAAAAATGTTTTTTTTCTGTACAACGTTGCCATTGCTCGCTTTGAAATCCTTGAGTTTGTTAATAAAAAATTCGTTAAAGTTTTACAAATATGAAATGGATAAAAAACAAATTTCAAATTAAAATTTGGGCTTTCAATGCCCATATTTCGGTGGGATTACGGCATTCAAAATTCGATGGCTCTATACCGTTCTTTATACATTCGAAATATACATACATTTAGGCAGATTTTTTCATTATTTAATTTCTTCAAATAATGCAGGACTCACATTTGGTGGTAACAATTCAAAAGTTAAACGGACATTTATAGTGAACCAACGTAAAATCGCTAAACGAAAACAATAGTCCTTCAGGGACAAAGCCCCTTTGGACTAAAAAAAAACTGAAGGGTTTCAGATTTTAAACTACGTCCAAAAGGGCGTTTATTTAACGTTTTGTGTGTTACCTTTATTTATTAAATATCATGTTCTACGTACTCAAACTATAAAATTCAGTTCAACACCAATATCGCAAATTAATTTTAAAATAAGTATATCTTTAGAATTTCCGATACAGAGTATCGCGCGTTGGAGAAAAATGTTTTTTTCTACAATTCGTTAAGTGTTTACAAAATATGAACGATAATAACAAGTTTCAAATTCAATTAGGGCTTCCATATGCCCGTATTCTATGGATGATTAAGTTATTCATATTTTGATTGCTCTAAGTACCGTTGTTTTACCACAGTGGGAGGAACATATATACATGTATGCAGATTCTTCATTATTTAATTTCTTTAAATATAAGACAGGGCGATAATATATGGTGGCAACGATTTGAAAAGTGATACAGCCTTTTAAAGTTTTCGACGCAAAATGCCAAAACGAAATTAATAGTCCTCCAGGGCAAATTGCCCCTTTGGATTAGAAAAAAAAAAACAAAGAAAGTGTGTCTGTGTTAAGAAACAAAACGTTCTAATGGACGTTTTTTATGCGATTTTTAACTCACTGACCCTGATCAAGTTCTCTTGCCAACATCATTCATTAATGTTATTTAAACTTAGTTTCTTTTCCTTGTCACGATAAACGCTCTGTTCTTCACTGTTTTTGTTTTTGAATACTGATTTAATTTCAGGATCAAAGGAACTTGTACTCCAAATAAAACTGCTTGAAAATACAGGCATGTATAATTAATAGTAATTTTGAGTTAATTATGGAATTTCTCTTTCCTATTTCTCGGATTGACAGTGATTTTGAGTTATCCGTGGAAGCTGTCCACGATATAGATGTAAAACGTATTACTATAGTAGTCTAGACATTAAAACGTTTTAGATTCCAATGTATGTAGAAAGCAAAAGCCTTACTTCTATTCAGCAGTTTTGGCTTTAGTTCAGCATTTTTATTCTAAAACTAATGCAAAATTATTTAATTTATAATAAATTTAGTAATGCAGTTGTCACTTAACACATTTGTCTTACAGTTACATCAGGTAAAATACATCGTGGCTAACAGCGCACTGGTTATATCTGCGGTTGACTTCGCCCTTCACCTTAGGTGTGACAGCACGCATTTGTCCAGTTTTATCCCAGTACTGAAGGAGAATCTTCCGAGGGAGGGATCCCAAAATCTCCAATCTTTCCTTTCTCTTCCACCAGTCTCTCGAAATGATTTTCGGTTTGACAAAAGCTGAAGTGTCCCCATAGTACAAAGACAAGGTAGTTTTTCAAACATCTCTGCTTTCTCCCAGATTGATATCTAGCATAAGACTTCTTCAGCCGGCTTTACTACTGCCATGCCAACAGCACCGTTAATATTGCAGTTAAACTACTGAATATAACTATATGAAACATCACAAAAAGAAATTTTGTGGAGGTGTATTCTGAGAAAAATTTGCGTCAGATGCGATAAAAGAAATAAAATGATGTTTTGCTATACATATTTTTCTACCAGCCGTAGTATTACGTAGCGTTATTAATATCTTTCCTTTCCAATTTTGGTGATTTTAGTTTATTAATTATTATTCTATGGGATATTTTCTGAGACGAAGGGGATAATTCGCGAAAAGGAAAACATCGTAAACCAGAGGTATGCAGAAAAGGGAAAATTTTCTTAAATCAAAAATGAATTTCTTCATATAAATATTTCAAATTTTTCTCTTTAAAGAAAGATAATTCATAATCAAATACGTAATATATGGCATTAGAAACATCTTTTAATAATAACAAAAATGCATTTTTATTTATATCAGTTATATATATTAAGGAAAGGGAATAAGAATTCCTCTTAGATCATTCTATATTAAATATTTAAGTTTAAATTTAAAAGATAAATTAAAAATCTTACGTTTTGCCGAATGGCAACGTTCCGAGAACTGGTTATATGCAAGACTCATGGAAGATAAATTAAACACCTAATATAATATCATTCAATAAGTATTAATATCATTGTAGCAAATGCTTCAAGAGACATTCAGTTCTATGAATCCATCCTACTTTTGTTTTTTCTAAGGCCGCCTAAAAATCCTGAGTTAAGCGGTTGATCTAACTATACCCGCTGAGTTAAACCGGATGTTCGAATGCTAGCGAATATTATACCATTGCAGCGTGATCGTGAAAAATCTACCCAGGTAATGAGCAGATCAACCACCTGTAGCAGTTGCATGTTACGTCTATCCTTTGCTTGCCGTAATTTATCCTATCCTACCTACGCAAGGTTTTCCAATGCGCATGCGCCTAGCCATCTACCTGCCATTGGTGAATAAATCACGTGATGAGGAAAAACGGAACTTTTCGGTAGAACTGTTGAGCAAGCGTCTTTTTTGATCGCAGTCACAGTTCCCATGTTGTAAGGAAACGGTAATGTGTGCAAGCTCTATTGGGGTGCCATCCAGAATGTATTTCAAAATCTTTATTTTCATTTTAGTGGGTAAGTGGATAACTATTTTAAATTCTTCTTCTTAGAGAAGTTATATATATTTTATTAGTAGCGAAAGGTTCATTAAAATATACATAAAAAGTTATTAATCAGTACCGCCGACGGCCACGCCCCTTCATGTGGCGCTGCATTTCAAATTATGATTGGATAAACTGTTATATAAGCGCAGATGCCTATATTGTAAATAATGCAATGCATCATCTATCTGCAGTTAAAACTATTTTTAAGCAATTTCTCAATCTGCTAACGGAAATTGATGTAAACTTCTCATGAAAGAAAAATTTTCCGTTTAGGTGTTATTTCAAGTAAATAATTTTAATTCTAAACATTAAATTTTTGACAATAAATTATTATTTCTAATTGTAACTGTATCATTCGTCTGCAATTTATAGAACATCCTAAGTATTTTCTCATTGTATATCTATATATATTTTGGATTTAAGTTGTAAACAGCATGTTTAATTTTATTTGTTACAAATTACGTATGACACTGAGCTGTAAATAGAGCGATACAGATAGGTAAATACAGAAGCTATAATTTTGATGAGTTGTAACGCTTATGAAGACTGACCGTAAACGTTAAAGACTGTAAAGAACAATTCTGTGATAACTGTAAAAAATTGTAATAATTGTAGCATCTAATAACACATTTTCGCATTCTGTTCAGAATTCAAATGTATAACAACTTTGTATTTGACGTAGATTTAGATAAAAAAAATAATAAATAAATAAAAAAATACCCTCAATCGCTTTCGAGGGCAAACAGGTTTTTCTTCATGAGGAGCAAAGAGATTTTCAAATTCAAGGTTGTTTCTTTACTAATTTTAAGTTTCACTTTGGTATGTTTTTTTCTGATTTGTATAAACACAGCATCAGATTTCATCTTCCGAAACTACAACTATTGAAACATCATTCTAAATAGCTGTAAAATTCCGTTTTCAAGATTTGTAAAATTCCGATGCCTAAGTTTCCAGTTTCATGTAATGTACACAGAATTGCAATTGTAAACTATATTGTAATTCTACTAATACACAGAAATAAAGGCTCGATTGACTTGCCTGCCGGCGGGCTGTTGTTGGCTAAGTAGTAGATATCTTCCCAGTGGTTCGAGTAATGGCTTGAAGCAAAATAGCACCAGGCAGCTGTGAGGGAAAAAAATTAAATAATGATACATTTCAAAATTTTTTATAATATGTTTGCAATTTTCACTGAGTAATTTATCTAAGTCTATGAGCATATCGAGATCAGATGGAATTTAAGGTATGTTTACAATTACTTCAAATGCACTGCTTCGAAATGAATTTTTGTTAATATCTGATGATTTCTTTTCCAGGAATATTGTGGTAATATTTAAAGTAATTCCTTTTAATTCGTAATAATACAAACAAATTTCTAAAAGTAAATATAGAAATAATTTTTCAGATCAAACTAGTATCAGTAATACGGAAGGAACTATGCTAAAAAAACCATAATCTAGCCCTTTTTCGGGAGGGGGAGAATTAATACAGGTGCACTGAAAAAATAGAAATTTTCAAGTTCACCTATTTTAACCAACGCATTTCAAAAAAACTCATTTTAAAAATTATTGTGAAGAGACAAACTTAGTAAACACGTTCCACAAGTGTAGGGCTACCAATCTCTATTTTGACAAGTTTCAAAATTAGCTTAGCGGGAATAATAACAAAAATTAAAAAAAAAAAAAAAAAAAAAATACGCCCAACATGGCTTTGTTTTTAGCATTTTGTGTGTCACCTTTATTTATTAAATATCATGTTCTTCGTCCTTAAAACATAAAATTCAATTCAACAGCGATATAGCAAAATAATTTTAAAATGAGAATATTTTTAGAATTTCCGATACACAGTCTCGCGCGCTGGAGATAAAAATGCCCGCTTCCGTAGATTGTTTCTATTGTTCGCTTTTAAATCGTTAGGTTTGTTAATCAAAAATTCGTTAAAGTGTTACAAAATATGAAATCGATAATAAAACAAATTTCAAATTCCGAATTAGGGCTTTCAGATGCCCATATTCGGGTGGAGACGTACGTTATTCAAAATTTGATGGTTCTAGGTACCGTTTTTTTATCACAATGCGAGAAACATACATACATTTATTTAATTTCTTTAAATATAATACACGGCGATAATATTTGGTGGCAACAATTTGAAAAGTGAAACGCCGCAAAATGCCAAAACGAAATTAGTAGCCCGCTGGGCTAAGAAAAACTTCGAATAGTGTATAAATAAAACTGTTTTGGCTAAGAAGAAAAAAGATGAACCTAATAACCGAATTCTCTGCATTCCGATGAATCTTGAAGAATGTTTGAAAAATCTATAATCTTCGCGCTATTTCTCTAATTCGAATGGAAAAACATTCATTAAAAAAGAATGAGACTGTTGCAATTTTAGATGACTTCAGTTATCAATATTACCTCATGGTGACTCTGCAAGCTACGCTGTAAATTTTGTGTAAATAATTAAACGTTTCTTTCATAGTGTTTTGTCTCTGTTAAGCCTTCAAATAGTTCTCTTTCCTCTATGTTTGCTTTAATTCTGAAAAATGTTTTGTTTGTTACTCAAATACTTATTTTCAAATTTTATTGAGAAAATGAGTTTCATGATTCAAAAGTTTTAATTATGTACTCCCATTTACCATATTTCATTTTTTAACTGAATATACTCCTATTTATATCCTTAGAAATTATTAAGTTTGTTTTTCATTCAACATAGGTTTCAAATATCGCTTTAATTAGTAATTATTAAGTTTTCCCTCTTCTTCTTTTTTACCCCAGCTTTCTGTTAATCTTATGGTGAATTTAAGAGATTTGGAAGGTTGGAGAACGTATTATTATTCTGATTCGAGAACATTTAGTGTTTGTCCCATCTTTAGTATTTATTAAAAAAAAAAAAAAAAAAAAAAAAAAAAAGAATTGAACCAAACCTGTCTTGCAAAGCATGTTATGCTTTGTTCTTACACATTTTGTTTTACTTTCTTTTACAAAACTCGTATACTGAATGAACAACAAAACTCGATGTAAGAAATGACTCGAGGTCATAAAGTTAAGCACAGGCAACTCCCATCCTCTAAAATGGGAATTTTGACATGCAGGTTCAAAGGACTCGTCGTTAGGGTGGAATCGTTTAACTTTCCAATTCAGGGTAAGTCTGCAATACAAAGTAATGTTACAAATAAAAAAAATTGCATGTTAGAAATGTTCTCCGCAGTCTTACCAAACTTTTAGAGCATTACGTTGCCATTAAGTTATGCCATTAAGTATTTATCACTGATTCTTCGGCAGATGTTGCCATTGTAACAACATTGCTGTTCCCTACACTGGTAACTGAAATCTTACCAGTAATCAATGGCCCTGACAGTCATTGGTGACTATAGAGTTGGCAGCTACCAGTGTTCTTCTGTTACATCAATGGTGCTCTTCAGTTTCATTTATTTTATCAATGTTTTGACGCTGACTGCAGTGCTTTACTTTAGTGATCTTATGAACTGATCACTAGCAACGATAAGTCACCAGTGACCAACAGGTCTGATGATCACCAGTTTAGTTTCTTTTATTTAAAAAAGTAATTCAAATGTACTCCAGTGCCTCACATTTGGTGATCTGTTAACCGAAAAATGACTTCCAGTAACCACCAGTCTGTAGGCCGTCGGTGATCCATACCTTGGCACGTGGGATGTATTTTATTTTCAGTTTAATTTATCCTCTAGACTTATTTAATATAATATTCAGAGAATTTTAAATTAGAGCTTCTTTCTTTAACATAATAAATCGGACTTTTTGGTCTACATTCACACGATCGACTCTGAATATCATCGACACCGCGCAAAAGGGACGCCTTCAACAAAATCGACAACGGCATCTACAGATGCGTCGACACAGTTACAAGCTCGAAACCGTTCCTGAGATGCAATTTCGATCATGTACTAGCAGAGAGGCTAACGATTGTCAATTTTATGGGACATTGTTGCATTTTCGCTCTTCAGAGTTTACGGAGGACAGTGCTGAGAAACGAAAATACCGTCCCCCAGTTTTACAATAAAACTTGTCACTCCAGTTATATTTATTCAACAGTCCTTTTATTCGAATTTCTTGTTTTCTTTCTGAGACAGAAGAAAACAGAGCTCATTAAGAAGAAGGTGTTACTGTTTTCACGCTGCGAAATTTCTGTCCTGGCAAAATGTTATTAATTTTTTGGCAATTATCACATTTTCTTATGCTAACTGTCGTAGTGTAAGTTGTTAGTAAGTACACTTCACATTTGTAACAACCGTGGTTTAAATCCTGCCGAGGGCATGGTTGAAATTCCATTTCTTGTATTTTGAAGAAATTTAATAGCCTTTACATCTTTACCTGCGGCTAATATTTATTGCTAGAGATTCATTAAAAAAATGCAAAGTTACGTCTTAAATAATTAAGTTAGCTTTTTTATTTAATTGACTAAGTACGCAAGTCTCCGCGTGGCGTTTATTCAGTGTAAAAAAAAATATTGAAAAGCAAACCCTTTCACCTTTAACATTGCCATTTTGGTTTTAAATGTATGATTTTACGTTACATCTCTTGAATTCCTGGGGATTCGTTCTATAACTTGCTCGCCTATCGTAACTGTTTATCTTAAAACTCTTTCAGAAATTAAATTTGAAGGTGAATGCGAAAATTAAATTACAAAGAATTCCTTACTTCCATCTTTGTGAAACATATTCACTTAAAGGGAATTCTGAAAGGCTATCATCTCTTTCTTATCCAACTAACGTAAATGTCCCATGAAACAGCTTTTATTTTTCCAAGCTACGTACGATGTAGGAACTCGTGAAGCTATTTCTGAAAATCGGTAGTCACGGAGTTTGTCTAGTGACTCACTTCATAAGAAAGTAATCAATATGACAACAAACTACCTATGCGGAAAGAAATCATACTGACAATGGTTTAATCATCTAATTGGGTTACTTTAGTTATTAGTTTACAATGATGAAGCTGA